GGTATCCTCAAAACCTATTGTAAATTAGCTAATACAGGCATTATTGGGTCTTGTAAGTTGTAACAAAGTAATTAGCATATGCTTAGAACTTTCATTTGATTAGTGGAAAGTGGAGTTGTTGAACAACTGAGTTAGCTGCCAGAATTAGAATACGTACACTTAAACATTCTTTAAATAAAATAAAGATTACAGGACATTTATAGTAAAAAAACTCATATATTATGTTTTTTTGGAATGAATCCAAAGACTATTTCAAACTGGTGCTTAGTAAAAAAGTAAAGTAAAACTTGTGACAAATCAGATATATAATTCACCACAAATTTCTAATTTAAACTCAAAACCGTTCATTACCGATGTGAAAAAGTGGCCAATAGAAATTTCATTTTAAATATAAAAGTGGGTTAAAATATCCCATGCAAGACAATGACCAATCGAGAAAACAAGGTATTTAATGCAGCCAGCTCTAGTTTATACTCGGAGGTTGAGATTTTTAAATGCATTGTTATCAAAACCACATAAATATTTTATTTATCTATTTCATATATTTATTTTTTGTGGTAAGACTTTATGGGCACTATGTACCTCCATAACAAACCTTCCCTTTTAGATCTTGCAATTTTTTTATATTTTTTTCTATTCTTTATTTTTTGTAAATCAACTCACTACATAATCAAATTATTATAATTATAAGTATTCCACATAAAAGAAAAAGAATTAAAAAAAAAAGTATTCCACATAAAAATATGAGATTTAACATAAAAGAAAACGAGAAAATATAAGAAGATAGAAAGAAGTTAAAGAACTCATGATTCAGGTCAAGATTTCATAGGATCACTTGGCAGTGGTATGTCTGATTTTGAACTGAATATACCCAAGACTACCAGTGATGTTACAAATCATGTATTCTTGTAGATGTATATTTTTCTGTTGATGCGTACATCAAAATAGTACAAATTCATTTCACAACTATAATTCAATTCACAAGTCACAACAGAGTATATACTCTTTTCTACTTTAAATTTACATGTCGAAGCAAAAATAACCTCTTCACACGGGAAATTCGGAGATCGAGTTTGTTTATTATATATTTGTATTTTTAATATTGATCAAATGCGAATAAGGTCATCAAACAAGATCATTCGACGCGTAAGCTACATATGAATATTATTCTTTGTGATGCTAACCAAGAACAAAATGCCACCACTCTACACACACCAATAATAAAAGAGAAGTTTACATACATGATCAAGGACTTCGATAGGAGAGCAATGCTCCACCTCCCACATCCGAATGTCACCTTCGTTTTCTTCTAGTAAATCCCATTAAATATCTTTATCTGACTTAACAGGCAGCTCTTTGTAACTCCAATACCCGAATAACCCTTTCACATAAAATAACATCCGAATATTACTAGCTAATTCCACAGACTCATACTCAAAGCAAGTCCAAATATTAAACAACCTAGAAAGAAAACCTCACTTCATCATTGTAGCATGAGGATAGGTGATTTCCACAATGTGTTTCAAATGTTGATATCCCTTTATATGACACATCCTTTGTCCAATATCTTCATCTTCAACCCCATTAGAAAGTTGTTCTATGACAGTGGTCAAAACAAATTCCTATAAAACGATAAATGAGCTTGTCAATAGTTATGCAATAACTTGTGGTCTGAAGTTAGTTCGACCATGAACGTTAGGATAGAAGATAATAACTCGCTTGTAAATCAAATCATGAAGTTAGTTCGATCATCTACTCATGCAATAAAATAAACACAAGAAAATCATAAACGAAATAAAAGCAATAAAAACTAGACCATGAATCCAAGTTAAATGTAGCCTTGAGAACATGCTTCTAATATTAGAAAAATAAATATAAAACATTAAGTTCGAAAGATAATAGAAAAAGAAAGAAAAAAACGTATTCAACTTTGGCAATCTCTTATTTTCGATTTTCTCGCTCATATTGTGCGTGTTCCTATCCTCCAAAATCTGAAAAGCTCTCCCAATGTGTACTAGTGTTTCTTAAATAGTTGGGGTCGAGTCCTAGTCGAACCTAGACCCACACGACTCGTGTGGTATGTTATATGGGTCACACGACTCATGTGACAAAATCGAGAGTTAGGCTTAGTAAACTTCAGCTCAACACGACTCGTGTTGGTCCTGGAAGGCTAAACCTTCATTTTTGGCTTTTCTTTCAGCTCTTGTCGAGGTAAAGCTCCATATCGGTGCTCAGTGTAGGTAACTTTATCGAGAAAATAAAAAATAAGATGGTTAAATAATAAATACAGAGTCATGCGAGAACACAATGTCTTAAAACAGATTCGTCTCGTATGAGCGCATGTCTCCCAAGATACAACAACAAAACAGAATAAAATCTGGCGAGTTGGAATTATGCTGGACCAAAACACTATAAAAGAAAAATGGGAAAATGGATTATTTTCAACACTCTTTGTTTTCTTCTTTTCGTACTTCATTTCTTCAAAAGCCTAAAGGATGAATAATACAACCAAAACATTATCTATCGAAATTTAATTGAAACATTTGAAACTTAACATCTTGCAACATTAAAGTTAAAATCATGTTATGAATTGATTTGCAAGATCAACAAGTTACAAGAGTTAAAGTTCCGGTCTAAGATTTCATTCAATTAGTTTATCCAACAGTCAGGAAGTGGAATTGAGGCCAATTGAGGCCCGCCGGGTCGGCCGAGTCACCCATGGTTGATGATTTTTTGAAGCGTTCTTAGATTGTTCAACTAGCAGGTTAGTTGGTTTTGTATTTAATCTCATAGACTACAATTTTTTTTTTTTAATTATTCTATTTGCTTTTATCTTCATCTTCCATATAAGTTCAAGTTGTTTATATCTTGGCAGTCTTGAATTCATTATATTATTTCTTTTACTTCTCGCTATAATTATGAAATGCAGTTATATGTTTTGTCTTTCATTTTGACTCGGTTTACGCTTTGTGAAATTTGCAGTTGCTACTCATGGATAATAATTCATGACCGGAAGAATTTTCACTTGGGACGAGGATGAGTTTGCTTTCAGGAACTTCCTTGCAAATTGGTGGGCGAAACTATCGGGGGAGTCATGGTTAATGGTGTGCCTACCTTACCCAACAACCATCAAGCGTATCATGATGTTAGCTTAATCACCCGACAAGGAAGATTTTCGAATTCGGGACCTTTACTTGATCGCCTTCAAGAGATAAAACGAAAGATGGCATTAGATGAAAGCGTCGAGGAGTGAATGATGGAGTCTCGGCGACGAAGTCGATAAGGTTTATCTGATGAGCAACTACGCTACTTTACGTCTTGCAGCCCATGTTACAAATTTATCTGAATTCAAGACGAACCGGAGCGCCTTGGAAGAGTCGGTGAATGATTTGCTCAACCTAAGGTGCAACACCATTAAACTGTCACAGGCAATATTGAGAATATATTTCCAGAGAGTTACCGACTTTCCCAACTAGAAGCATTTGCTTGGGATAGGATGGTTCGAAATTTTGAAGGCCACGATCCACGTCCACAGAGTGATCCATTTTTCGGCTACGACCCCAAGTTAGATAGTTTGGTGGATAATTGAATGAATCTGTGCGAGATTGTAGCTAAGGACGACTTGTTAGCTACAATCTCGCACAGATTCATCTAATTATCCACCAAATTATCTAACTTGGGGTCGTAGCCGGAAAATGGATCACCTCGTGGACGTGAATTGTCTTCAAAATCTCGAACCATCCTATCCCTAGTAAATGCTTCCATTGGAAAAATCAGTAACTCTATGAAAATATCAACAATATTCTTGCCAGTTTAATGGTGTTGCACCATGGGTTGATCAAATCATTCACCGACTTTTCCAAGGCGCTAAGGTTCATCTTGAATTTAGATAAATCTGTGTGACATGGGCTGCAAGACGTAAAGTAGCGTAGCTACTCATCAGGTAAACCTTATCGGCTTTGTCGTCACCAAGACTCACTCCTCGACGCTTTCATCTGCTGCCATCTTTCGTTTTCTCTCTTGAAGGCGATCAAGTAAAGGTCCCAAATTCGGAATCTTAAATGAAGCAATCTTCGTTATCGGGTGATTAAGCTAACATCATGATACGTCTTATAGTTGTTGGGTAAGATAGGCACACCATCAACCATGACTCACCCGATAGTATCGTCCGCCAATTTACAAGGCAGTTTCTGAAAGCAAACTCATCCTTGTCCCAAGAACTTGTCCCAAGTGAAAAACTCTTCCGGTTGCGGATTATTATATATGAGTAGCAGTTGCAAATTTCACAAATTCTTAAAGCGCAAATCGAGTCAAAATGAAAGACAAAGCATATAACTACATTTCATAACTATAGGGACAAGTAAAAGGAAGAATATAATGAATTCAAGACTGCCAAGATATAAATAATTCGAACTTATATGGAGAAAAAAAAAAGATAAAAGCAAATCGAATAATTAAAAAAAACATTGTAGTCTATGAGACGAAATATAAAACCGACTGACCTAGTTGAATAATCTAAAAACACTTCAAAAAATCATCAACAATTAGAAAATCCAATATTTGGCAGCTCCCAGCTTGGCTCTACCAACAACCCCCTCAACCCCCTTTTACAGCCAGCCCAAAGGAAAAAAATATACATTTAGTAACCATAGCTCGAGACTTCAAAGTCAAATCTAGCAATGTACAATCTCTGTGAATTTGAGGTTCAAATAGGAAGCAGTATTATTGTGTCCCTTTCATGAATTCATTATCTACTGGTTCATCAAATATCCCTAAAATGACTTTCCATTCTTCCAATCTAGTTCTCATTCCATGGCATATTTAGCAATCATAATATATTGTTATATAATGCAATCATTATAAAAAGAAATACAAATTCCTTTCCCTCGTAGCCATTTTAATATGGTAACAATACAGATGATATATTTATATATTTATTAGATTTGACTTACAATTGCGAAGATTGAACAATATTAGACATCCTGGCTTTGCATCCTAAAATGATTCCTTCAAACAAAATGGCAGTTTTTTTGTAACTATTTTCTATTAGAGTAACAGAAAAGCTATGATTTCTAATGAAGTGAGTTGCACCACAAGTTTGCCAAAACATTGAGAAATGACATGTAACTACATATCAGCAAAAACCAATATGAATATTTCGGCAATCATGAATTCTATGGACAAAATCATTTGATTATAATTTTCAAAATAAAGCCTAGTTTTATTAACTATAGTCAATAATGACTGCAATGAAATCTGTATGTATAACTGTAACATCCAAGAATTAAAAGAAAATTATAACAATAAGAATTCTCCTCTATTATCTCATGTAACGGCTCAACATTCATTCACCCCACTGGATTCCTATTTCAAAACTCATACCACAATGTTACAGACCCATATTCTCTTCAAAACTTCCACGCCAATCAGTACAACAAAAGTTTTCTTGAATCTGCAATTTCCACCAAGCCACAGCAAAAAGAAAATACGACTTAGAACACAAATTCCATTCAGTTCGGGTAAATTTCTTGTTTCTTCGATTTCTTTCAAGTTATCAGTTCAAATATCCTCTTTGTTTAATTCAATAACCATCTTGCAATCACAAACGAATCTCGACTAATTTATTGGTCGAGCCAAATCTTACCTTCGGCCCAAAACTTTAGTCCCTCAGCTACGATTAAGAAGCACTTGTCCAAAATCTCAAAGCACCGCCTTGATGTCCACCAAAGACCATCCGAGCGCCGACGCCTTCTGCTTCCGATCGGGTCAGTCACGACGGTCTCCGTACCGATAGAAAGAAATTGAGAAAAAAATGGGAATTTAGGGTTTGTTGGTTTTGCGTGAAAACGAACCAAGAAAGGGGGAAAGCAAAATTTGAGACGAGTGAGAGTTTTCGCAAAGAAGAAATTAGGGATGGGTATAGATGCTGCGTGTAAGTACTGGTGTGTGTGTATCCTTTTGGGCGGGATGATCGACGTGTGTGTTTAACCCTTGAGCTCGATAACTGGGCCAAGTATACGGGAGAAATAAGTTTTGGGCTAGAATACTTATTACGGGCTGGGAAAGATACTGAGTGAATGCTAGGTCTGAAATTCGTAGTGCTGGACTGTGCCTTCCTCTCTATATCCTTCAAAAGCCTAAAGAACAAATTATCTCCTAGACGACCAAACTTTCTTAGATGTACATATTAACGATAGAAAAAAATTATATTCCGTTGCAAAGCTAATACCACGATCTATTAAATATTTAATTCTACATTAACATTATTTTGACCTTTTTTATAAATCTGATTGATTAGTTAATGCGTGGAACAAAAAAGGTAATAAACATAATGTTGGGAAGTGTGATTTCTCACACAATTTATTGCTAGTTTATTTTTGTTGAAGACATACGTAAATTGAATTACGATTTTAATTGATAATTTATTTAAAATATTTTCTAGTTGATAAATTGTTTATGTTTTTTATATTATAACATGACTTTGTTCTTTTGTTTTTTCCAACATACTTTTGTGTTTATTCTTTGTATTTTTTACTAGGATATCTTTTAGTTGATTTGTTTAGTATTATATTCACACTTTTTTTTATATTGATTTATAATTAGTGAAGGTGGTCTTTACGCAATATCATTGTTGTAAACTTGTATATATATTGTTTCTTAAAGGGTTAATTGCATTAAAAACCCCAACCTTTAGTAAAATTGCAAATAAAACTCAACTTTTTCAATTTGGCATAAAAATACCAAACCTTTATTAAATTTTGCAATTTTGTCTCGAAAGCAGATTCCGGTCAAGCGACGCTGAGGTGGCAGATCGGAAAAATGACTTGGAACCAAAATTTTGACATGGCAATGAAAACCCCAAAAATCTGCCGATTAATTAGAAAATTGCAAAACCCATTAATCAGAAAATTACACCTAGACTGAACCCATTAATCAGAAAACCCCAAACTGAGCCCATTAATCAGAAAAAAAAGAACATAACTTCATCGCTCGCGCCGCTCTCTCTCTCTGTGGCGATTTCTTCTCGGCGATTCACCCCAACAATAATCTGCCGCCGCTCTTCAATCATCATTCTATGCTTCACAAATTAGCAAACATTCGATTACCGGAAGTGCGAAACTCGAATGCTCCTTGAAGATTTGCAGTTGAGAGCTCGATGGGATGGATGGAATGAGTGAGGTGTGGCCAGAGAGGATTGATCGTTTTTTGTCGGAGATGGTGGACGCCGGCGAGAGTTGACGGTCGGAGAAGATGGACGCCGGCGAGGGATTTTGGAGAGGAGGACCTAGGGTTCCCGAATTCACAACTCAACTTCTCGGTATGCTTTCTCGCGAAGAACCCGGGAAGAAGAACTTTGGATTGGGAGGATGATTCAAATGTTGCAAGAATTTGGAGAGAAATTTGATGTTTGAGAGAGAGGAAGAGATGAACGATGGGGAAGTGGCGCAAGGAGCAGAGATTTATGCCAAAAAAAGAAAAAAAAAAAAGACGATGGCCTGTTATATAAAGAAACATGAGTCATCTAAGTGGCTTTCCTACGTGTAAGGGAAGTCAATTGCCATGTCAAAATTTTGGTTCCACGTCATTTTTCCGATTTGCCACCTCAGCATCGCTTGGCCGGAATTTGCTTTCGAGACAAAATTGCAAAATTTAATAAAGGTTTGGTATTTTTATGCCAAATTGAAAAGGTTGAGTTTTATTTGCAATTTTATTAAAGGTTGAGGTTTTTAATGCAATTAACCCTTTCTTAAATGTAAGGTATAGTTGTGGTTTAACTACAATAAACATGAAAATATAGTCAATCGTTATATATCAAGCGTAGAATATTGATGGTTTAACTATACTAAACATATAATTCATAAATCAAGTATAACTAAATTTCACTTTATATAAAAAAAATATATAGGGAAAAAATCAATTGCGCTAAAGTTTTATAAAATTAATTAAACAAATATTATTGATCATTAATTTGTTTATACAAGTATTCTAAAAAAATATTATCTTTTTATATGGCAGTATCAATTTTTGATTTTTTATAATGCTTACATTAAATATTGGAGAATCTATACTTATATAATAAGAATTAACATTTATCCAAAATAGTAGGTCAAATGATGGTAAATGTCGGATTTGCATTAAATATTTTTCAAAACCGGTAAGTTTTTGTCCTTTTCACACTTCTCATTAATTATGTCATTTTCACACTTCTCATTAATTATGTCTTTTTCACACATCTAATTAATTATGTCCTTTTCACACATCTAATTAATTCATTAATTACGACATAATTATCATAAATCATTCTATCTGAGTTTTTATCAAATGTATAGCGATCTGTTATGACCTTATCCCATTGATATTTCCATGAAGCGTCTTTATCGCGTTCTATTTTTTTGGTAACCACTCTATATCAATAACCGGATATTTGGTTAACGATAGTACACGTCTTTATTTCAAGGAACAAATATTCTTTGACCTTTAATTAATCTGAATTGATTGCCTTGATTTTTCAATTTTTAAAAACTCTTTTTTAAGTATTTCGGCTTAAGATTCAGATTTCATTATACAAGTCATCGGATTGTTTGAATGAAAATGAATGAAAAGAACACCAAAAACAGGTAGCCTTATTCATATAACCAATCCTAAAATATTAGTTTGTTCACAAAAACGAGACAAATCCTAGAAATCCTAAAATATTAGTTTGTTCCCCAATCCTAAAATATTAGTTTGTTCACAAAAAATATTAGTTTGATTTTTAGAATTTGTCTCTTTTGAAAATATTAGTTTGTGATAATGAGGAGTTACCAAATAATCAAACTCATAATGTTGTATACAAGGAGGTTTTTAATAATATATTATTGTTACCAAACTTTTTATGATCAACAATGTTCCTATGTATTTTAATAATTTCAATTTCGATCCTAATGCACGTGAGGTTATATTATTCTTCCAAATTTTACATCCCGTGCATCGCACGGGTTACGTACTAGTTGAGGATTATCATACTTAGCATTATGGAATTCCAAACTTTTTTTCATAAATATGTAAAACATCAAAAATAGTTACGTACACATGTACTTAAGCCAAGCATAAATCCATTAATTCGACCCAAACAAAAATTGAACCTTTAGATTCTAGCTGTCGAATCAAAAATATTAATTTAAATAACTTAATATTTATTGTTTCCCTAAATTTACTATTTTCGTATAGTGCATTACATTAATTATTTTATTATCTAGATCGGGGATTTGGGTGCTTGAAATACTAATTCGTCAACATTCATTCACGTCTACTCGATCACCGTGGGGTTCTTTTCTAAAAATTCAAATGTCTTACATAACTCCAATAAGGGTGTGATTGTTTATCAACCCAATTCAAAAAAAATCAATCAAAACTCAAATTTAACTCAACTTTAACTCAACTCCACTATCTTCATTATTATCAATATAATTAATTAATACCAACCAATCATTCTTACACATCACATCAATTTTAATTCACTATTCATCCACTCACATAATTTTAACTAACCACTACTTCCAATCATTTTCTCTTACTTTTACATCATATCAACATTAATTATTTTATTTTAAATATTATTTTAATATATCCACTAACAACTAACCATACTAACTTTTTTTAAAAGTAACTATAGTTAAAAAAAACCAATTAATTTCTAAATGAATTGATAAACAATCACCCCCTAAATGTTTTGTTATCCCTGTCAAATCATTTATATGATTCTCCATCCACAATTCATGTGACTTTTTGAGCTCGACAGTTATATCATGTCGAGTACTCCATGGAATAATTTCTACGTAAAATAATTTAAGAATCAACAAGTCATGCAAAATTTTATTTGGTGATTATGTGATATTTATATGTGCCATGTACCATCCCACTAAGTATTTTTTTTTTTGGCTCATTCCAATTTTCTCTAAAAATATTTCAGGTGGACTGAGTCGGTGATGTATTGGAGAAAATAGTAGTCATTAATGATGATGTTGACTTGGTTTTATTTCATTTTGAAACAATATTTGCCATTTGATATTTCAAACAAATTTATTTATTTGAACTATGTTAGTTTTGATTTGGGAACATATTGATGAAGTGGATTTCTTGGTTGACATGATATTTTTATGAGATTTCAGTGAATTCAGAAAATTTTGTTAAGTGTTGATGAATTGTAATCTTGTTTAAATCGGTCGCTACAATAACAGAACTACAGCACTCCAAATTCCAAAGCGTAAGAAATTTCGATCTGAAAATTGTGATCTGTTGCCATGCTTTCGACATGGCTTTAGGCAAACATCTATACAAGGCCATTGCTACTGACGTAAGAGAAATAATGATCAACAATCGGTAAATCTTCAAAATTAATAATCAACAAATCTGCACTTGTATTATATTACGAATTTGGTTGAATTTCGGGATTTTCAGGCACAAATATAGAAAGGGGATCTAGGAATTGGTTTGGTCGGGATTCTGGAACATAGAAAGAAAAGGGGCATGTTCACATTTTGGGGATCGCCCTCAAGTGACGCCATGTGTGGGAGACAGTAGCTGGCTAGATCAATCTCTAAAATTTTGAAGGTTGGCATTTCGACAAACTCTGAACTGAAGATTGGAACCTTCACCTGTTGGAATTGTGTTGAAATATAAAAGGGAAGTTTTCAAAATCTTATTTTACTTAATTGAGTTAGGTTTTATTTAATCCCTCTTACTTGGATTTGGTTCTTCCATGGAATGAGGTGGGTTGTGTAGTAGGAGAAAGATGGTGCCGTGTGACGGTGTGAGTGTGTGAGGACCGTTTACAAAATCGTAAGTAATGGGGCAGTTAAAACAAATCCGGGCACAATATCACCTTAACAAAATATCAGCATTAACCATAATTCAGAAAATTGACTTGGTAAGACATAAAAATAATTGCATAAAAGTAATTCAGTTGTGTAAAAATATACCCAAAAATTTGGAGTAACATTTTTATCTATAAATAAAATACAAGTAATGAGGAGGGTAATTTTTTTCAATAGAAATTGCATATAGACAGAAACAGACAGGAGTTTTGAGGTTGGTGACTAAGTATACCGACTAAGTATACCTTAATAAACCCCCCAAAAATATTAAGTGGCACAAAAAAAAACTATCCTCCATATATAATTATCCAACTAATAATTCACACAATGCTTGGATAACAACCGATCAACAAATATATGCCATGTCAACACCACCATTGCCAGTTAAACACAGTATATGCTAGCAAGTGTAAAACACAAAGTCATATGGAATTAATCACATCTAACAGCAGCACCCGCAGCAGCACACAAACCATTATACAATCGAGCACTCACATTCAACTTCACATCATAATTCAGCCGTCTAGCCTCGATCTCACTTCTGTATTGCCTAATCTTAAGCTGCAATGAGAAATAGACATTGCCCATAAGCTAAAAAGTTGTAACATCTGAAAGGTGTGAACAATATACAGCACTAACAAAATTAATAATGATTATAATATATATGTCAGTAGGAGGACAGAGAAGGCTAGGAGAAGAAAACAATGTCAAAACACATAATTTGGAGAAAGTAAACTATGAAGACTCCCTAGAGCATTATATACCTCATTAAAAATGTGCGTACAAGCTCTATCATCATATAGCTTATGTAATGCTGCCTTCAAACCCTGGTTATTTCATCGAGAACAGATTTATTAATTTAACAATTGAGGGGGAAGTTAATAAAATAGATAAATGGGAATATAACCATACCTCCAAGTCACCGGCAAACCTGGTGCTATATCTAATTTCACCCGATGTCTTGTCATTGCCCCGAGCATTCCTAAGGTAAGTAATTAGTGCTGATTGCTCTCGAGCATACTCGACAAATTTCTCGGTTAACTTCTCATATACCGAATTATGACTCCAATAAACAATTAAGATACTCAGAAAAATCCTAGAGGAATGAAAAGAGAGAGATAAATAGATGTTTGTTTCAATAATGAAAATTTCTGATCTTGATTAACGAGAAAAACCATAACCAGTCATTCTCTAGGGTTAAATAAAAAAGGAAAAAAAAAAGAAAGAAATAAAAGAAGTGAGAATACACCTCAGGGCTCCACCAACGTCATTCTTTTCAATTCGTTTCGCATAAAGATGGAACCCAGGATCCTTAATAATATTATAAACTACCGCCAGTGCATCCTTACTTTGGATCTTTTCTCGCTCAAACGCATATTTGCGTAGTTCTACGCGGACTTCAGTGTGCTGATGAGAGAGAGAGAGAGAGAGAGGGTCAGGTGAGCAAAATTCAGCCTATTTGAGAAAAATCATAGTAACATTAAAAAAGATAAAGGGGTACCCTCTTAGTTCTCTCGGCAAGTAGATGAATGAAGTGGGAATCATCCAGGACCTCATATGCTAGATTATAATGTTGGTTCACAGAATATAAGGTGCGAGCATCTTGAGGATCAAAACTGTTAAGGGCTGCCATACATTGTAGTGCCTTTTCAGAAAGGGATGGATCTGCTTTTAAGTCCTCCGCTAAGTCGTCGATACCTGGTTCCTAAAAAAGTACAAAATATTAATCTACAGATAATCTCTAGTTAACTGGGGTATTGGACAAATAGTTTGTCATAATCATGGTTATTCTAACTATACCCGAATACCCGAACTATGGACCAGTTAGTGGTCATACTCATAACATAATTCTATCGGGCTGACACAATACCGACACGAACACGATGAGGTTAAACACTAGCATGTTATGTTCATGTCGTGGTGTCATGTCCGGAATTGCCACCCCTAGAATTACAGGCTTCCCTTCTACTTTTTACGTTATTCATGTCCTTTTAAAAGCTGGTTTGGTTTTTAATTATTTTCCTAAACCGATAATGTTATTCTTTAAAGACAGTGTCAAGCTCCCAAAAATCAAAGACAAGCATCCTCAAACTCTACGGCCAACACTAGCTCGGATAAAAGACAGAGACATTTCTGTCCAGATAAAGGACAAAGAAATTTCTGTCCTGAATCCAAATAGAGAAAATGACACTAACGAATCAATTTGCAATTATTTTGAAAAATAATGAAGGGGGGTATTACGAAAAGAAAATAGCATCTAAAGGGGAAGACAAGCAATACCGCAGCCAACTCAAGTTGTTAAAAAGACGCTAGCGAAAAACTATTGAAGCTTGAGAAGAACAAAAGAGAAACGAGGGTCAATCAATCTGAAAGGTGACACAATCTGAAACTGAATATGGTTTATACTTCGGACTGTAGAAGCAATTTTTTTTATAAATGTAGAAGCTGAAAGTTCCCCTCTTTGATCTTATTAATGCCACTGAGACAACAAAGGCTATTCTGAAGGGATATATTGATCCCTTCTGAAACCAGCCAAGAAGTGCATTGANAGCAAAAGAAAATTTACGTACTCGATCAACAACTTCTATAGGAGATTGATGCTCCTCGATCCACTTCAATTCTTCCTGCGATTTAAATACAAAATAATAAAATAATTTTAAAAAAAAAATAGAGAAAGATAATATCATAAAAAATCCAAACCGAATATTACATTTATTTATTAATAACTAATAAATGAAGGATTACATGAAACCGGGACGCAAATATTTAACTACAAAAATTGAAAATTGAACTTGAGAGCCTACCTCGAAACGATCCCACCGGACGTTTTCGTCTTCGTCATCGTCAGCCTTTTCTTCTACCGTATCAACTATATTTTCTTCTGGTATATTATCTAACTCCCCAGGCAGCATTTTGTAACTCCAATACCCGATTACAATAATTAAAAGCCCCCTTCACAAAAACCAAAAACGAGAACCACTAGAACTATCAAGTTCTAGCATTATACCAGAATAAATGTGTAGCTAAACACTGAATCAGTATTACAAATTCTACTGCAAAAACAACAACACACACTCATACGACTCCAAGCAAGTCCACGTATACAGATGTATATAAACATGTATATAAACAGAGAAACAAAAAAAACTATAAAAGATATCAAAACACCCAACAGTCCAACAATAGGAACAAAAGAATGCATAGCAAATGAAAATAGGTTCACATTTATGTGCAGAAATTCCAGGAAAAATAAAAACCTCACTTTATCATTGTAGCAGGAGGGTTGGTGGCTTTTAGAATGAGTTTGAAAGGCTTATGTTCCCTCATACGACACATCCGTTGTCCAATATCTTCATCTTCAACTACATTGGAAAGTTCTTCTATGACAGTGATCACAACAGATTCCTACAAAATTGAAAATGAGCTTGTCAAGAATTATGCCATAATCTGATAAAACCTGGGTCCGAAGTCAGTTCGACCATGAACGTTAGGATAAAATAGAATTACCCGCTCCCAAATCAGTTCATTAAACGCCAGCCTGAAATATTCGTTTCTCCACGTTTTCCACACTAGAGTGAAATGCTTAACTGCAGCATCATTGAGAGAGCCATTTTCGAGTGTCGTAGAACTTTCCAGTGCCTCCAAAAGTTGTTTTGCTGTCTGAACCAGAGACTCGTTTTCTGCCAATTGATCACAAAAGCGGCATATGAATGGATCCTACACAAATTTCGGTATCATTAACTGATTACATAGCTATAACAAGGATAATAATTAATGCCCAAATAAGAACAGAAAAACGAAGTACAATTAAAAAGTGACAAATGGGGGAATGAAAACCCTATATAATCTTAATTTCACTTACTTGGACTGGAAAATTGAGGGGATCAAATAAAGGAAAATCGTGATAATACGAACCTCAAGAAATCTACTGGTGATGGAGGGATCGAGCAGCACCGGAACAGCTAATTTTTTTGCACTCTCCTTATCTGCAGCGCGAGGGCTCACTTTTCTCTTCTCCGCAAAACTTTCGGACATTTTTTCATCCTGCAAATTGCACGTATAGTAATACATCATTATAAGGATTAGTAGAAGACGCTAAAAGTTTTGAAAAAGAAGGAATTGCAGAATCAAAAACTACCTTAGACATTGGAATTGCAGAATCAAAACCCTTTTTCATTTTCAGCTCTCTCTTGGCAAATATGTCAACGTCAAAATTCGGTCCAAATTTGAAGTTCCTAGCATTTTTTTAAACTTTGCGCCATGCATTTATTTAATTTTTGGGCTTGGCCTAGCACTGACAAAAAGGGGAACTTGAGATCATATTCTAAAGGCCCAGAAGGGCTCAATGGGCTAGTTAAGCCATAAAAACACACGCAATAATAATGTAGTATATCTTTTTGCATTTATATTATTTTTTTAAATAGTATTCGAACATGAATATATGTATTTGATGGCAAAATATAAAGGTCTAATGACAAAAATCTGTTAAGTGTCAGTCTAAAATTTAGGATGCCAGTTTAATTATTATATATGCACAACTAATTATTGATATCCTTTATTTATTGACATATCATATTTTACTCATCAAAGTTTACCTGCTTGTAGGCCTGTAAACAAGCCGAAGTCAGTCCCTTTATGAGCCAAGTCGAACTCGGCTCGTTAAATAAACGAGCTAAAATCTAACTCGACTTATTTATCTCTATTAACGAGCTTATCTCGAGCTTTAACAAGTCGAACTACATAAAATTATATTTAAAAAAAAAAAAATCAAGTCTTATCGGCTCGACTTTTTAAATGAGCTCGAGCCGAGCTCAACCAAACTCGTTTAATTTAATAGCACTGTCTGATATAGTAACAGAACTTACATAGCATTATTTAGTTAAGTAATTCACTTTTGATATAGCACATGATAGAAATACAGATTTTACTCATCAAAATTTACATATATATATTTAGTACAATTTACTTAAGAAATTCAACTATAATATTGTACATGAAATACGTCCACACTAATAATATCATGTTGTCATTGTTTAACTGTTCTACCGTGTATTCTTCAATTTGATTTAATTAATTTTAAAATAAAATATACTTGTTCCATACTATATTCACCTGTTAAAAGTGAAACTACATCATAATATTGGGGAAACAAAGTAATTTTTATTTGTAAGCATATTTGCTACAAACCGTAATGTGTGATTGTGTGTCCACTATTTATGCTTCAACAATGTATAACTTTACACACTTTTTACAACCAAAAATAAATAAATAAAAAGCTCACTCCCAATTTTTAATTTATTATGCCATGACCTACTAGTTTATACCTTCAAACAAATCATCGTGTACATTAAAAAATTAGCTTAACATGCATTAAACCTCGTCATAATCATTATATAAATCTTAGGGAACATGATTAAGCAAGTGGGCCGCATCTTTTAATCCCACGACATTAACCAACAACAAAGCTAAAAAAAAGTAATAAAGAAAATCCCACTCGTGCAATCTCTTAAACCCAAATTCCTAAGCACAAATGTGTGATTATTAAAGTAATTATCCCCTTAATTAGAGATTATGAATCGTTGGTGTGGGTATGAGACAAGGGTACTATATAATACAATACGGGTGTAGAAATACCACATATTTTTAAAATTTTAAAAACGCATACTTGATAGTATATATATATTTACATTTATATAAAATAAATAAATAATACATGTTTATATTAAAAATAAAAATTTTACTATTTACTAATAATTAGAAAATTAATTTTTCAATCGTACAAAAATGAAGTTGTATAANTTCCATAATCAATAGGATTATTTTCATTTTTAAGATAAGTACATTATGAAGTATGGGTGAGTATATATCACACGAATGCAGATATATCTTTGTAAAATAAGTACTTTATGAAGTATCGAAACAAACCACTCCCTCTATTTCTAAATAAATTGTCGTTGTAGTTCAAATTTTAGAATTACAAATTTAATGGGTTGACTATCTTTATCTTGAACCTTCTTAAATTTAGTGATTAAATATATTTTCTCATTATTACTTTTCTTTTATTATATTTATCACTCCTCCTAGTTATCAATAAAATACTATCTTTGAAAATTAATTTTTTTTCTCTCCCTCCATGTTTAGGATAATTAAGTAACAACGAATAAATCATAATTACTTAAAAAAAATACCAAACATAATGTGTTTTGATATTAACTCACGTGCACGTCTTGAGTTAAAATCTCAATTTGTGGCAGGAAATCACGCTTTCCCATCCTATGTGCTGTTTGATTAACGATTTAATATTTGTTTTGTTGAGTTATTTAATTAATACTACTTTATTATATTGAGTTGCAAGCAATGATTGAGGTTTTGATATGTATCTGGTTTTGTTTGACCCGCTAAGTTAGTGTGTGTGTGTGTGAGTTGACGGACCAAACAACAAAACATGGCACGTGCAAAATTTGATGTTTTCACTTTTCAAGGTGCAAACTGCAAAGCATTCATACAAAACTTTGATCGATTATTTTATTTGTTTATGTTGAGAAATTTACTTGGTGTACACGTGTATTGCATGACGATGAAAGTGGTAAATAATTAAATATGATCACCAAATTGATTAATAAATAAAATAAAATTTATAATTAATATGTGAGCCCAAGCTCTTGTAACTTCAGGACCGTTTATCTAAATTAAAGGTCAATTAACGTGATTTGTTTAATTTGTGATTTTGCAACTTCATACTTTGCTAGATTTTTTTTTTCTTTGGAAATAGAAAAATTCTCATTTTGGGGAGAGAACACAATCAAATGATTAATATAATTTATCTAAGAACGTGTTTAATACCAAACTTTTGATTGTGCTAAATTTTTAAAATATATGTTAGTTAATGAATGAAAAAAATTATGTTATGAGCTCTCTATAGTGAAATTTAAATTGAAATGTTTTTGAGAAATTACTTGTACTTAGTTTATAATATTAAATTGAAATGTTACATTCAACATATATACCACAAATAATTGGGAGAATATCTTAGGAATTAAATAAGAGATGTGTAGTTATAAAGGATGAGGTTGATAGTGAAATCTGATCCAAATAATCAAACATCATATCCAGCTTTTGCTCTCTTTCTTTATCAAAATTCAATGAATCTATTTTTTTTAGTACTTCTCTATTTCTTTCTCTCTTTTATTTTTTCCCTTTTAAATCTAAAATAACTCCTTCCATTTTGTTTTCCTTTCTTTAATTTAATATATTTGGAATTTACAAAAACTACTTGTCTTACCTATTGGTGATTGGAAATTGTAAACTGACTCATGAATACACATTAAAGGCTGAACATCGAAGTTTCGAAAACTAAAGCTCAACCGAACTAATTGAAAATTTCAAGAATTTTCACTGCAAACTCATTAAGTTGTATTCATCAGTCATATGTTAATATTTTTCATCTTTTAAATATGTATTTATCGAATATATGTCAAATAATCACTTGTCGCCTAATATATTAATTGGTAACTTTCATGAACATAAAAGAGCCGGACTATTATAATTTAAATAAATTAAGAAAAAATGAAGGTGGACAGGATCACGTGAAGACAGCAAAGATTTGAGATTTTGGTAGGATTAAGGTAGGGCGCGCGGATGGCGACTGTTTGGGCTTCGATTATTTTTATTATCTCTTTATTAAAAAACTTGGACCACCACATTTAGTGGGCCAACCAGTGTCCAGACCCATGGGCCCCTCCTCACTTCATCTGCTTTTCCAAATCCAAGTTAAAGCTGTCTAAAAAACTTTCGAATTTCTAGTATGATGTACGTACACCACCAATATATATATATGTATGTTATGTATTTTTATTTTTTATTTTTTTGTTTTGGTTAAATTGTTGTGGTCACTTGTGTCGTACGTCTATCAACGTACAAGTTTGGTAAAATATGAGACCTTTAGATCAGATCACATAAACGAAATAAGACATTCTTAAACTTAATTCGTTAAAATTCGAGTTTGATTGGTAATTAACGAGCATTAGGCTGGCTAGACTAAAAAATATGAATTTTTATATGATCATCTATACATAATTTGTTAATACTCGACAATGGAGCCAATCTCGAATTTGTTTAGTTAACCAATCAGACTTGATTTGATTCGTTAAATGGTTAAACTCAAACACAACTATTGATAGTTCGAGCCCAATTCTATTACGCGTCTATTTTACAACTATCGATCAATTTATTTGATTCCTTCAAACAGTAGATGTTTAATTGACAAACTTTTTTGTTCTTTTTTTTCTTTTATTATATATATATAAAAACTTCTGTAAGTCTAGTTTATATAAACAAATCAATATGTGAAAATTGAAATGGCTTGAACCATATAAAATACTTGGAGAAGTAGATATATTTTTATTTTCTCGTAGACACTCATTTTAGATAAATGTGGCCGCTTGATGTGATGGAACAACTGCCAAAATGGCTTTTTGAATGACTTGTGAGAGCAAGAGGTCATATAAAAACTGGCTGAAAAAAAACAAACCAAAATTTTGGCTTTGATGGTCCCAAATTTGATATTATGTCAGATTTAAAATCTGAACACCATAATTTGTGTACTTATCTTTAAATGATTTGAAAATTACTTGAATGGATTCAAAGAAAAATGAACACCATAATTTATGTATCATCTTAATATTCAAGAAAATGTTTCTTTTTGTTTTTGCTTTCCATTTNTTTCTGGCAGAAAAAAAAAAAACAAAAAAAAGAGAGAGAGAGAGATGATTGATGTGGGGAAAATCTTGAAATTGACCAGGAATTCTCTAGGAAGTGGGGTCCACAGAGTGTAATGATTGCTGATTTCTGAGATGTCCGTTTGGGGAATATAATCACATTAGGCACTCCCCACCATCATTTCCCAATGACCATTTTTTTTTTTCACTCAACTCTTTTTCAATTCACCCTTAGGACCCTTGATCATTAACCAAGTTTGTAGTATGATTTGATCATTAATGTAAAAAATGTGGTTATGTCTTTAAACATTGAAATGTAAATTAAAAATTCGAGCTTCGACTCCAAATATTCGTGTTTGGGACTGTGCCCTTATCGAGACGATCTTAAGTTAACGAGCAGTTAAATAAGACGAATCCAAAAGAGCTATAAAATCACCATATAGCATAAAAAATTATATTTATCAGATCCAAGTCGAGATAAGCTTACGAACGACTCATTTCGTTCAAGTTAAAAAATTGTATTTATTTAGATGAAAAAAAAACACACCATGAATTGTATATCTCTACATC